CGAAGACATGTGTTTCATGCATGTTCGGGACAGTCGATTTTGCGATCCTCACGAAGCCGAGCGTTTTTGAAGGATTTCGGCTTGCGCGCGTGCCGACGCGCGCGTGTGCGCCTCGTCCAGTTTTTTTTTTGCATGGGGTTTTGATAAACGAATGTGCGCGCGTCTTTTTCTTTGCAGAGGATGAAGGGGCGGGGGCCGGCCTGGCTGGGGTGGCGTGAGTTCAGTTATCGTGTGGGCGATGGGGCAGAATCGCATAAAAATTGCAACGCGGAAAGGCGGGCGATTAATTCGGGGGGGGGTTGTAGATCCTACTACCCCATTACAGAAAGAGAACTCGCACTGCCGAAGTTGAATGCGTCAACTCCGCGGCTCGCGCAGCCGCCCCACCCGCCCACCCGCAATTTAGTTTGCAAGACACATGCGGCTGCGACTGTGATGAATGCTTGGTCTTGGCTGGTGCGTCTCTGCGGCCGCGCTGGCCCGCTCGTGCTCGCGCGCGCAGCGGCCAGCTGGCTCGGCTCGACCCGACGCGGCCCCCCGTGGCGCTGGCCGCCGGGCACCTCCCACGGGACACCACAGTGCGAGTCGGCGACTTTGGCGGGGGCGGTATCATGGCAGCGTCGACAGCGGTGGGCGCGACGATGGTTGTCGCGATTCTGATGACGATGATGACAACGGCGGCGGCGAGGCAACCCGCGGCGCCGATGCTGATCGCGCCGACGACGATGACGGCGCCCTCGCGTCGCTGATGAAGGTTTAGCAGCGGGTTCGACATGGGCGCGCGGCCGATGCGCGAGTGGCCGGCATGGTTTTATTAGGCGCGGATCGTGCCCCCCCCCAGCGCGCGCGCAAGGGCGTTTGAATGATTTCGATATGCGGTGCGAAAAGCCCGCTTGGGTGAATTCTACGAACATGTTGAACAACTAAATGGTTCCCTCAAGAATTCGCAGGGGCACGAGCGCAAGCATTTTTGCAAACTGATGCTGCAAAAACATCTGTTTTCGTATGCTCCATCGGGGCGCTCGACTTGGCAGCCCCTACGACGTCGACATTCTTCTGAGGAAGGCCGCGTGCGCGTGCGACGACGCGCGCGGGCGCACATCGTCCCGTTGTTCGCAAGGGAGTGCTTACGGCAGCGCACGCGCAAGGCCGCTCGAGCGATTTAGACGACATGCGCGCGCAAGGGGCCCGTTGGGTGGCATGCAACCAACATGTTGAACAACCAATGGTTTGTTTAGATATCCACCGTAAGAGCCCGAACGTTTTTGTTTCTTTGTTTTTTGTTTCGTTGCTTGTTGTTTTTTGTTATATATACATATATATATATATATATATATATATATATATACATTTATATATAAAGAAAACAATCATTTGTTTGGGAAGCCCGTCTTGTGAAACCGTGTTTTTTTATGTATTTTCGGGGCGCGCGATTTTGAAATCCTTGCGAGGCCTATCGAATGTCGAAGATTTCGGCATGCGCGCGCGACGACGCGCGCGTGTGCACTTTGTCTAGTTTGTCGCGGGGGATTTTTGAAAGCTGGTGATTTTGGATGAACAAATGCGCGCGCATATAGTATTTGTCTGCAGAGGATGAGGCGGGGGGGCGATATTGGCCTGCCTGGGATTGTATGAACTCACAATTAGGATGGACGATGAAGCAGAGTCATTTGTAAATGGCAGTGCGAAGAAAGGAACCGTCAAGTCTGGGGGGGTCGATCCTAGTATTAGAAAGAAGAAATAATTGCTGTTCGCAATGAGTTGTCAACGCCACTGCTCGCGCAACCATCCCGCCACCCCACCCGCGACTTGGTTTGCAAAACGCATGCGGCGGCGATTGGCGATTGTGATGAATGCTTGGTGTTGGCTAGTGCATCTCTGCGGCCGCGCTGCCCTCGCATGCTCGCGCGCGAAACGGCCAGCTGGTTTGGCGCGACCGACGCGGCCCCAATGGCGCTGACAGCTGGGCACTTCGAAACGGGCACTTCAGTGCAAGTCGGCGACTTGGGCGAGGGCGGTCGCATGGCAACGTCGACAACGGTAGACACGATGATGGTAGTAGCGATGCTGGTGACGATGATGACAACGGCGGCGGCGAGGCCACTAACAGCTCAGATGCTGATCGCGCCGACGACGATGACGGCGCCTTCGCGTCGGTGAAGGTCTTGGATGGAATTCGGAATGCACGCGCAGCCGACGCGCGAATGGCCCGCATGATTTTCTTTGACACGGATTGTGCTCCCCCAGCGCGCTCGCAAGGACTTTCGAATGACTTCGACATCGGGCGCGAAAGGTCCGTTCGGCCGAAGTGCATGAACATGTTGCAAAGTCTCAAGCATCTTAAGAATCCGCAGGAGCGCGAGCGCCGGCAATTTTAACAACTGATGCCGCACAATATTTTGGTTGTTATACTATAAATATGTCTTCGGGGCACCCGGGTTTGAAATCCTTACGGAACCGCCGGTTTTAGAAGGAATTCGGCATGCGCGCGCGACGACGCGCGCGTGTACACTTCGCCCGATTTGTTGCAAGGGATTCTTACGACAACACGCGCGCAAAGGCGTTTTTGCGATTCCGACATGCGCTCGCGAAAGGCCCGTTTGGTAGCATATTGCGAACACGTTGAAAACTGGTTGTTTCGTAAGAATTCGCAGGAACCCTTGCGCAGGCCTTTTTGTGCACATTTCTTTCGTAAGTATTAAAACTGCGGGACACTCGATTACAACATCCCGACGCAACTTGTGTTTTTTGTTTGAAGGATTTCGGCATGCGCTCGCGACGGCGCGCGCGTGTGCACTTCGTATCGTTTCTTGCAAAGAAGGTTTTGTAACCTGATGAATTTGGATAAACGGGTGTGCGCGCATACTGTTTTTTCAAGAGCATGAGGGGGGGGAGGATACGGCTTTAGCTGGGATGCTACGAGGTCATACTTAGGATGGACGATGGGACATACTCGCATGCAAAGTGCAATGCGAAACAAAGGGTCCGTTAACTCCGGGGGGGGGGGTAGATCCTAATGCTCTTTTAGAAAGGAAGCTCTATGCGGTGCAATATGAATTCTGTTTCTGGCAAGATAGTTGCTTCCACAGTTTGGCACAAACGGGGGAGACGGGTTTGCAGCAACGGCTCCGCAGCCGTTTGCCTCAGAGGCCCCACAGAGGGCCGCGCTGGCAGCACACTCCGCACTGCACGACAGCGCTGAATCCAGGGGAGAAGTCATCGCCTGCCGCCCAGAGGGGAGGCCCTGAGGGAGGCCCCTGGCCTGCCCGCCGCGCGCGCGCTGGGCGCCGCTTCGGAAGGGCGAGCGGCCAAGAGCGCCCCGCCGCCTCACGGGGTGGCGCCAAGAGGCGGGGTCGAGGAACTGGCTTCTGGCCCGATCGGGGGGACCTTCTCCCCAGGAGGAGGCGGAGGAGGAGGAGGAGGAGGAGGAGGAGGAGGAGACCGAATGCCAGCAGAGGCTGTGCATCATTCCTCCGATGCCCAGCGAGGGACGCCGGACCCCCCGCAGTCGGTGGCCCGTCGTGCGGGTGCCCCGCCGTGGCCCCCCCCACATCGTGGCCCCTCATCGTGCACGTGCGTGTAGCCCCTCGGGGTTCTCGGCCGCAAGGGCGTCGTATATCGCGAGAGGTGAGCCTGATCGCCTCTGCCCCTTTGGAGGGCCCCCCGAGGGCCTTCAAGGGCCCCTGGGCGCCCATGTGCAGTAACCTCCGGGGACCCCGGATCGAGTGCCGAGGAACCACTCTCACAGGAAGTAAGCACCTCCAGGAACAGCGCCCTTTGGCAAACGCACCTTGAGCAGGAATCGAACCGGGCAGACCTGTTTAGTGAACGCCCAACGCCAATTGTGGGGGTCCGGGTGGCTTTTCCTCCTTTGGCTGAAGACCTCCGGAGCAAGGAGAAGGGAGGATGATGGTGAAGACAAGGAAGGCAGACAGCAAAACGCCACATACAACTTCTTGCCTTCTCATCCCAAACTCCGCAAGTAGAGGCCTCCAAAATGGGGTGCGAGCAGATGGGGTCGGAGGATCGCGCCGCATCGCCGATACATCGGCGATGTATCGGCGATGCATCGGCGATGCACCGGCGATATATCGTCGACGTGGGTGCTGCATCGGCGACGTCGGCGTGGAGAAAATCGGACTCCACATCGAGCCGCATCGGCGATGCGGCGCGCGTTCCCGACCCCATCCACTCGGACTCCATCGAGGAGGCCCAGAGCAGGGGGGAAGCGGCAATCCCAAATCCACCCAGATACGGAGCAGCCCGGCACCAGAGGCCTGGCCATCCTCTGCTGACAGCGTGGCGTCGTCCCGCCGCCGCGCGCCGCGCGCCGCGCACAGAGGGCCCCACACTTTTTGGTCCGCGGGTCGAGAGCGGGCCTCTTCCGGTCAAGAGCCAGGCGGGGGCGCGCCAAGCACGAATTGGGGAGACAGGGCGCGGGCGGGCGGGGCCTCAGGCGGCCAGAGAACGCGGGGTGCAGAGGGCCACGCACACGGGCAGCTGGTGGGGCCGGAAGCCCCGGGCAGCCTCTGCAGGCGGCGCCGCCCCGCCTGGCGACAGGGGGCCCCGCGGCGCGCACGGGGCGCGGCAGGCCACGCGCGCGAGCAGCTGGCGAGGCCGGCGCGCGTGCCCCGAGCAAAGGGGGCCCCGGGCACGGGCTGGAGCAGTCGAGGAAAGAACAGGATGCGCACCACGCAGCAGCAGCAACAGTTACAATGCCTCACGCAGACGCGCACAATTGCTTTTTTCTGGTCTGCGGGCCGAGAGCGGGCCTCTTCCGGTTAAGAGCTAGGCGGGGCGCGCAAAGCACTAATTGGGGAGACAGGGCGCGGGCGGGCGGGTCAGACGCACACACGCACACAACAGCTGCGCCTGGACCGTGCACCGGCAGAGGCATCGACAGATCAGGACACACGCGCGGATCCGACATGCAATGAACGTGCGTGGAAAACGTTGCAGAACTGCCGTGGCCAAACTCCGTTTGTTCGATGTTTTGCCACCTAGACCGCGGTAAGCAATACCTGAGGATCTGCCCAACCACCCACGACGCTTGGCAACTCTGATGGACGGGCGTGAGCTGGGGGCTGGGCAGGCAACTTGCCTGGGACGTGCGCGCCTCGGCTCGCACCCGCTTCCCGGCTCCGCGGCGGAGACGCGCTGCTTCCAAGAACGGCAACGGCAATGGGGAGAGAGGCACGCTGCGGCGACCATGACAACGACGACGACGGAAATCGACGCTGGAGGACCGCGACGCGACAGCGGCCAGAACCACAACCAAGGAAGGCGGAAGGCATCTGGCGATGGCCGCGATCGCTGCAACCGCCATCGGCGACGGTGACGACGGCGATGCCGAAGGACTCTCTTTGGGGCGCCGCGGGGCAGCCTGGAGTGTGCGCCACCACCCACCGCCACGTGAGATTCAGCCGTACGCCCGCCGCGTCGGCTCTCCCGCACTCCTTCAGGGCGGCGTGCTTGTAGTGACGCTGGGTCATCCCCTCCATAGTGCAAAGGTCGCCCCCCGCCAGCTGAAGGTGCGTCTCGCACCACCCACCCGCCCACTTGCGCAGGCTGAAACACCGGGCCTGTCCCAGAGACAGCGAGATGATCGTGCAGTCCGTGTACCAACCCTGGAACAAATCCTCGTCGTCGGCGTGCCACCCGACAGAGTCCCACTCGCTGTCGTACCGGTTGAGGTTGCAACTATTGGGCCACGAGTCCTGGAGAGGGAAGCCGCACAGGGGCATGACCTCAGAAGATCAAATAACGAGAAGACGAACATACACTTTCTGAGGTCCGACCAGGTTTCTTGGGTCGGCGCTGGACCTCCTCTCGCGCACGGGGCGGCGGCGGAGGCGCCGCTGGGGGTGGCCCTAAGCATTGTTTCACCGATTGCAGTGTTCACTGCCATGGCCTTGGCCCCACTGGCCGTCTTCCCCACCTAAGTGGGGATGCATGCTGCTTCCCTCCGGTTTCGCGGGAAATCTCCCCACTTTTGGGGTCGGCTGGTGGGGCTGAGATCATAACCATACCCCAGCGAGGACAGGGATCGGTCAAACGATGCTGAGGTCCAGCGCCGACCCAAGAGCCCCGCGCGGGCCTCTGAAGGTTTGTGTTCCCAGACCCTCGACGTCATGCTTTTTTCGCAACGTGGACCCCTCTGGAGGTCTCGACCCATTTCCCAGGACAAGCTTCTCATCCCGAGCCGTTTGGCCTGGCAGGGGCCCATCGAGGCCGAAAATAGCGAAGCACCTCCCGCCGTGTTTTTTTTTTTTTTGCGCGAGCATGTCTGGGTTTATGCAACCTCTCGTTCTCCGAGGCCTCGGCCATAATCTCCAGCATCCACTCCGGGAACGGCACAGGCCTCATGGTGAGGCCGCCGTAGCCGTAGGCGCAAGTACACGGCGGCGCCACCATCCAGGCGGTCCACCTCGGGCCCGTCCTGTCCCAAGGCACGCCTCCGTCCACCACGTTGAAGAACCGGCTGGCCACTGGGCCTGGGAGGGCCCCAGGGAGGTGCCCGACGTAGCACCTTGCGAGGGGGACTGATAGGGGGGCCTTGCTCAGGGGGTAGGAAACATTGGTTTGGAGTCGGCGATGTATCGTCGATGGATCGGCGATCGGCCCCCGGCAGCGAATTTTCACGCTCTTGGGCGGGCGGGCTATCAGGTCCCTATCGGCGGCCAATGGGCGGTTGGGGAGTCGATGCGTCCCCCCGAGCCTTTCCTCCCCGGCCGACGTTGCCCCCGACTCTGGCGTAAGGGGAGGGCTCCTGGTGGAGACGTGTCCTGGGCCCCAGAGATTTCCCAGGTCAAAGGGTACACCCCGCCACTCCGTGACAGGAGGCGGCAAAGCTGATCTTCGGCTGAGTGCCAGAATCACTCCAGTC